TCTTATGTTTATCCACAACAACGCCCTTTCCCGATCCACAACAACGCTCTTTCCCGCCCATAGTGAGTTAAACCTCAGATGCAGTTTGGACACAACAAGATGAACCGAACTGGTCACTGAGCTCACGACCTTCCCTTGGTCCTGCATCACTTCCGCAGTCCGCTTTGCTTAATGCGAACACGACACGTGCAAGGCATGTGCCTGCTCCCTAGGGAGCGCAACCTCACAAGGGACAGCGCGGGAAGCATTGGCTAGCAACATGCCAAAAAAGCAGCACCAAAGGCCACAAAAGGAAAGGGAGGATAGAAAGCGGCAAAGGAAAAGAAAACGTTGTTGAGGTTTCCGGAGCAACGACTGATGTGCAGCCCATAGAGGAGCCTCGACTAGAAACTATGCAATCCGCTTTGGTGTCATTGCAAGATAAAAAGGTTGTCGTAACTCTTTTCTATTTGCCCATTGCATGCATGATAAGGCCCCCTGTTGACACTCAAGATGGCAACCGGCCAATGAAAATCAGGGAGCCTGCAGATTATCATGTCAGATGCATCACGACTTTAATGGAGAGGGCTCCTGCCGGCGATCCGAATCCTTGGGTGGGTGTCGTTGACCCGTCACAGTGCTCCAAGCTGGAAGATGTTGACACGAAAATATTGCAAGAAGGTGAATACACTCTTTGGATAATCGGCGGTGGGCATTGCAGCCTTTTGCAGGGAGGCACGCACAAGGCTGTCTATTATACATCCTAAGAATGAGCACTTCCAACACTTCGTGTGCTACGTCTATGCAGGATTGACTGTAGAAGAGGCGAGATTGATTGGCCATGAGCACAACATCATGGTCAGGTGTCAGAAAAGGCTGACTTTTGAGCAAAAAATGAGATGTTGGAGACAAGTTTTGAGAACAATGGCTCTTTTTTTTTGTAAAGTCGCATGAAGTCAATTGTGCATGTTTGGAAGGACCGGGTCTTCTAGCTAAGACATGGTATGACATTGCTAATTATGATTCTCAGCTTCAAATCTGCATGAAGTTAGAGCCGGTATAGGATCTCGTTGCACAAAGCTTCAGGTTATGGGAGGAGGGTATAATAAAAATGTGAAAATGAGGAAAGGTGTTAGCGACAAGAAAGTGAAAAGCCTTGAGGTAACAGACAACCTGGCACAGGGAGAAGAGGCACAGGGGCAAGGAAGGAGAAGAGGCAGAGACAGACCACCACGAAAGAAGAACACTGATACGTGTCAGCAACGCTTATCTTTTATAACCCTAAACCGACTAAGTCTTATGGATGTGACACTTCGGAATGAGATTGTAAGTGAGCCAACTGACATGCCGTTCAGACCATGAACCCAACTAGCCTCCCTTTCTGATGAGGTTATCATTCTTGTACTTACCGAGGTGATAAGTGGAGATCTCTCTCTTGATGAGATGGATAAGAGACTGGGACAGATTAAAACCAGAGAGAGAGCAACTGCATAGTTTGTTCGCAAAATGTTCGACGACATTGTCTGTAGTGATGCGGGAACCCCCCCCCGAATTTCGTGTCTTCCATTAACCATCTCTCTGTCGGTTTGGAGAGTTGGGAGAAAGCAGAGGAGTACCCAGTTCACACGAGGGAAGAGATGCTCTTACAATTCTATAGCTATTCTGAGAAGAAGCCCAAATATGATGTTCAGGCTATGATCGTTTACAGCGGCAAAGCAAAGAGCTACAAAGAAACTGAAGAGCTCAGTCAAAGGGCTGGAGAGGGGGTTGCGACACAGGTATCAGCCAGCAGTCAGAGTATCAGCCAGCAGTCAGAGTCTGCTGAGTGGATGGACCATGTATGAGGGTGAAGGGTATAAGCCTATAAGGGGACTGTGAAGGTGCTGCAGTGTGACATGCTGGTCCTTGCTGGACTTACGCAGGAAGTTGGAAGATAGGTTTTCCTTCACTTTGTGTGTGATGGATTTGCCCTGCGGCTGGAGTGCAGAGGATTCTGTAGGAGACGAAGAAAAGTTCGGCAGAGAACCGTGACAGATCCTTACATGTGCCCGTACCTTCAAGGAGATCACAATCTCGCCATATTGGGTGCTGGCGGGCCTTCTGCTTTGTTGAGATGCTTGCTGATGATGTAAGGTCTGTCTTTGAAGCAGAGTGTAACTGTGGAGTGGAAATTGGCGTTTGGGCTGGCTCCTAATGTCCTCCCTCCAAGTGGTTTGACGTTGACGAACTGCGTGTAGTTTTGCGTCCTGGGTTTCTACAGTAAAAGTCAGGCGAGAGAACCTTTGCAGTTTCAGTTCAATGATGCCGAGAACTGCTGCACCATCCCTGCTGTATCAAAAAAGTGCACTTCAACTACTGATGGCCGAGTTCTTTGCCCTTATTAGAAGCTCATTGCGCTGTACTATTGAGTGGCTTGTCAAAAAATTATCAGATCCCAACGACTCTTAGATTGTTGATGCATTCTCAGGATCTGGCACAGGGGCTGTTGCTGGTCTCCTCTGCAAGAGGCATGTTCTTGTGGTAGAGAACGACACCAGATGTGTGATGGGCATATGTGCAAGACTTACAGCTGGGGAGTTAAAGATTGCAGCAGGGAGTGAGGCCGTTGCGAAGACTGTTTCAGAATCTGAGCCTTGGAGAAAAACATAGGGAATTGCATCCCATATGTTCTTCTAGCTACCTGGGGACTTTTCCCCTTTCGCATTTCGGTTTCTCTTTTGGTTTGCAGCAGTTCGTTCACATGGGATGCTGCGTGCATAGGCTGTTGCTTGCATGCTCCCAACTGTGGATACGTAGAGTAGCTTTGCTACTTTCAAATTTTAGAGCTGCAGTTTCATTTTCATTTCAGCTCTCTCCGTCAGAAACATACTATGTAAATAATGATTGACTTTTATTGCTTTCTGCTGGTTTTCTCTGAAGACAGAACGTGAACAGCGAAATTAGGCTTCTGTCTGTCGGTCGGCCGGTTTGTCTGTCAGTGTCTGTCTGTCTTTTTGTCCATCCGTCCGTCTTTCCGGCCACCTCTCTGCTCCTCCGCCTGTCCGCGGCCGGCCTGCCCGCCAGCTCGCCAGCCCACCTGCCTGCCTGCCTGCCTGCCTGTCTGTCTGCCTGCCAGTCTGTCTGCCTGCATCCCCGCCCGCCTGCCTGCCTGTCTGTCTGCCTGCCTGTCTGTTTGTCTGTCTGGTCTGATCAGTTTAATATATTTTTCCTTTTTTTTTTTTTTTTTAATTCGCACCATTTCTCAGTTTATGCGTAGCGTCCTTGCGCAGGGGCCACGCTAACCTTCTCACCAGATGTCCCGAAAGACTGATCAATTTCAAGTTAACACCTGATCCTTGAGAGCAAAACCCGTCCGCCTGTCTGCCTGCCTGCCTACCGGTCTCCCTGTTTGTCTGTCTTCCTGGCTATCTTCCTGTCTTCCTGTCTGACTGTCTGGTGTTATCAGTTGCATATCTGATCCTTGAAGAAAACAAGTAAACAAAAGAAAAAAAGAGTATCTGTGCACTTGATGAGCCAGCTGCCTGACCCTGTCCCTGGTGCCCGAGCCAGACCATTACCATGAAGTCAAGCCTGACCCTGAGCTTGCACCCGAGCCTGACCCTGTCCCTGGCATGAGCATGACCCTCGCCTTGAACTCAAGCACGAACCTGACCTTGCACTCGAGCCCAACCCTGACCTTGAGCCCAAGCTTGACCCTGAGAGCTTGCACCCAGGCCTGACACCCGATTTTAACTCGGTATCGAAGCTCAAGCCTAGAGCCTAACCCTAGACCTTAGTAGAGGGTCATGGCATGACCCTCACCTTGAACTCAAGCATGACCTGACCTTGCACTCGAGCCCGACCCTGACCTTGAACCCAAACTTGACCCTGAGAGCTTGCACCCAGGCCTGACACCGGATTTTAACTCGGTATCGAGGCTCAAGCCTAGAGCCTAACCCTAGGCCTTAGTAGAGGGTCATGGCATGACCCTCACCTTGAACTCGAGCATGACCCTGACCTTGCACTCGAGCTCGACCCTGACCTTGCACTCGAGCTCGACCCTGACCTTGAGCCCAAGCTTGACCCTGAGAGCTTGCACCCGAGCATTTAATGTGCTATCAGAGGTCAAGCCTAGACCCTAAACCCTAAACCCTAAACCCTAGACCTTAGTAGAGGCTGGCACTCCTGTCTGATTTAAACCACCAGTACTTGGGCCATACATCGGCCCCCGGCCTTCCCCTTAGGGGGTCTGCAAAGGGAAGGTTCGGTCGTTGCTGAGTGGGCAGGCCCCGGTTCACTCGGCATGACACCAAAGAATAACAGAACAAAGAAGAAAAAAAAAAAGATTCAAATACACAAAAATTAAAAAAGAAAGATAACCAAAGGTAAACAACAAAGTCACGAGAGAGAGAGAGAGAGAGAGAGAGAGAGAGAGAGAGAGAGAGAGAGAGAGAGAGAGAGAGAGAGCATTTTTGGAGGCCTTGCGGCCCCTGAATCTGTAACTCTTTTTGTTATACTTTGCCTTGTGCAGTGGGCCCTAATAAAGCTTATTAAATTTCTCAACTTGAAAAAGGAAAATAAAAACATTTGTCTTTTTTAATTTTTTTTTTTTTTTTCTATCCAGATGGAGCACAGAATCTGCTAAGATATGAAACTGATAGGAACAGAAATTGCACTAATTATTATTAGCCGAACTCAAAAGGCCGAGAGAGTTTTTTTTTTTTTTTTTTTTTTTCAATGCCATGCGGTTCTGATAGGCCGAGAGAGATGTAATTCAAAATTGCCGAGCGTTCCTGGATTCAAACTCGGGTGTGTGTGGTGTGCGACAGACGCATGCATGCGTCGGGGTTCCTTTTCCCCGATTTTCGAAGCGCAGTACTGCGAACAGTGTACTTTTTATTTGTTTACAAGGGTTTGATGATTATTGTGTTCTGTTCGCCGAGTTTTATTGCTTGTCGTAGACTATTTTCCTCCCTGTCATGTGCCCTGCGTGCCAAGATGAGGGCGCACTTACGTGCGTGATGATGTGAATGAGTGCAAGCCATTGATGATAGCATTCATTCGAGTTCACATATGTCCATGGTCCAAATGTTGGAGTACATATTTTATGTTGCCAATCATTCATCTTCATCTTCATCAAAGTGTTGTGAATGATTGAACGATGAGTGCAGAAGGAAGAAGGGAACTGAGTGAAAACGTCAATCTCTCACACAGAATTCATGCACCTTATGACCCACAACTTTACATGGAAGCTTTGCAATCGGAAAGAACAAACATAAGAAAACACGTTTGCGATATAAAAGGAATGTTCGTCATAACACACGAAATCAAATTAGCATCAATGATGCGCATAGACATGACGGACGTTAATGACACCGCACAGTCGACGATGAGTGGCCCCTTTAATGAAAAGACGTGCATGTCGACTGCACTTTGCTGTCTGCTTTATGAAACCAAGCTCTCCCAAGGAAACGACTCGACGCAAAAGAAGTAGAAGACGTCTACGAAACGCGCGCAACCGCTATTCACACGCCATGCCAGCTCCTGTCCCCATCATCATCGGCGACATCGTCGTCATCACCATCACCACCTTCGTCATCATCATCGTCATCATCATCATCATCTTCATCATGAACATCGTCATCATCATCTTCATCATCATCATCATCTTCATCATCACCATCATCATCGCCACCGTCATCATCACGATCGTCATCATCACGATCGTCATCATCACGATCGTCATCATCACGATCGTCATCATCACGATCGTCATCATCACGATCGTCAGCATCATCATGAACATCGTCATCATCATCATCGTTGTCATCACCATCATCATCATCGTCACTGTTATCATCATCATCATCAACGTCATCATCGTCGACATCATCGTCATCATAAGCAGCACCGGCGGGTGACTGTGCGCGGTCACCTCCTGTCGTCGTCCACAGCGCCTGCCGTCACCATTCCCCGCCCTCGTCCTTCTCGTCGTCTTCATCATCGATCTCCGGAGGTCCGGTGCCTAACCAATCTAGTCGTATGGCGAGCTCAGGAGACGTCAACGTGGCGTCGTTGTGGAACGACACCCCACACGAAACCCAGTCGGGGATGTACACCGGAGGGTCGACCAAGGTCATGGGGGGCTTCCCCATTTTCTCCGTTACTGCATTGACACACTGTAGAACATGGCGGCGCGCGTCGAACGAGCGATGCAGCGACGCAATGAGCGTCGGTTTCGCAATGAGCTCCACGAGATGGGACGCCTCATAATGCGAACGGAAATTATCTCCCGCCATCGGCATGATCCACATGGCGGCAGACAACAAAAGGCGCATGCAGTCTGCCACGTTCCCCAGCCTCTCGTACGATATCCGCCCGCCGTCTACCCCCTCCCCCGTGTTAACAACATTCGTGAAAGCTCCCACCAGACGCTGCGTTGTGGACTCCTGATACGACGCCATTTCGTCGTCCTCGTGCCTGTCGTGTATGACGCCACCTACGTACCAGATGAGGAGCTTCATATGAAGCTCCAAAGTGTTATGGACGACCGCCGGACTCACACATACCTGCCAGTCCTCTACAAACTAGATGGCGCGCGCGAGGTCTGTGGCGACGTGGTTCAGCACATACCCGTAGGAGCAGTGGTACCCGCGCGCACGATCGGGGGACTTGAAGATCCACCCATGGATGATGCGCAACGCTATGGTCTGCACCCTCGAAGCCCTCTCCTTCGCGGCCCCCAACTCCGACACGTCTTCCAGCTTCTGCTGAGGGATCGTGGCGTTCGGGAGGACAACGCTTTTTCTGATCTCCGACGGTTTCACACCCTTCGCGATGGCGATGAGGTGCAGGCGCGTCTCCTGGATGATCTTGAACATCCCATGCCCCTCCGTCTCGTTCCAGAAACGCAGATCGTCCACCCACACTTTCGCTTTCGCCTCCAAAGCCGCCAGGTTTCCGGATCGCCTCTGCCTGTTAATGAGGGGATCGTTGTCATCAGCATCATCACGACCGTCGCCACCGCCCCCCCCCCGCGCCTGTCGTTGATGTACCAACGACGGCTCCCACCGCTGCGGCTTCCTTTGCGGGAATGCGCGTCGCAAGCTGTCCCCTGACTGCCGCATTCACCCCCGCCCCTTCATCCCTTCTCGCCTGTCCCGCCGTGGGCGTCGCTGGGTTTGAAGGCGCCCGCATTGGCGGGTGTTTACCGACGTCCTGGGCCGCCTGCACGTCCTTCGACGGCACGACGCCGCGCATGCCAGGGGTCGTCGGCTGGCCACGCTCCTCCCTGGCAACAACACCGCCTCCCACGTCGCCGGCCGCCTCACCCTTGCCTCGCGCAACCCCGTGACCACCATCTTTACCACCGTCGATGCCTTCCTCTCCGCTCACCATTCGCGCGTTCGCTAGTTCACGCAAGGTCCCTTTCCTCCCATGAAACGTGTCCGCTTCTGATTCGAAATCGTCGTCCTGTCCGCTGCTGGCCTTGGTAACCCACTCTTCCCGCACGGACCTCCCGATCACCAGAGCACCGCCGCTTGATGCCTTGGGCTTCTTCGCCTAATGCCTCCCGCGCTTCACGACGCCGGCAGCTTCCGTTTTCTGGGAATCCCTCTCCCTTTTCCCCTTGCCAGAGTTTGCGAGTATTCGTCATCGCCGAGAAGACAGACAACGATGATGGCGATGACGAAGAGACAACAACCACACGGCTGCCACAATGATGCCCGACCGAACGGGGAGAAAGACGAGCGGTCAAGAAGAAGGAAGGGTGAGAACGATGGCGGCGAGGGAAAGCCTGCGCAGGTGGAGTCCAAGCGTGAATACGACGTCTGGCGAAAACGGCGTCTGGCGAGAGAGATGGCGGCGAGACACAAAGTGCGCGAACAGGAGTCCCAACGTGAAGATGACGTCTGGCGAGAGAGATGGCGGTGAGACACACAGTGCGCGAACAGGAGTCCTAACGTGAAGATGACGTCTGGCGAGAGAAATGGTGGCGAGACACACAGTGCGCCAACAGGAGTCCCAACGTGAAGATGACATCTCGCAAGAGAGATGGCGGCGAGACACACAGTGCACGAAGAGGAGTCGACACGTAAAGATGACGTCTGGCGAGAGAGATGGCGGCGAAACACACAGTGGGCGAAGAGGAGTCGACACGTAAAGATGACGTCTGGCGAGAGAGATGGCGGCGAGACACACAGTGCGCGAACAGGAGTCCCAACGTGAAGATGACGCTGGGACTGCGCGATGGCGGCGACACAAGCAGTGCGCGACGAGGAGTCCGAACGCGAAGATGTCGTCTGGCCACCGCCTGCGTGGACAGGTCATATCGTGGTCGTGGCAAATGTTCCTCACGCACCGGCGACAGTGCACAGGTTGGCTAGAGGGTGAAGGGAATGGCAGAGGGACCATTCCATTTGCAACCCCTTTTCCGACACACGGACGGTGGGTATGCGGCATTCCGCCAATCAGACCCCCCAAAAAAACGAACACCCCCGCCTCCAAATGACTATACAGCGACCAAAAAAGCCCGCCGCACCCCCCACTGGCCGTGTCATAGGAGTCTGATACACATGCCCTAAAAAAAAAAAAAAAATAAAAAAAAATAAAGGGAAGTCCAACATACAAATTGAATTTCAAACTTCGACACCTTTTCGAGGGAGATATTAAATGGCGTGACATAAATAGCAACACCGTTGATAAAAGAAATGTTCATTCAATACGACACAAGAAACGAAAGACGTGGTGCCCAGAGACATGTGTTTACTGCAAGGAAAGCAAATATCATGCAGTGAAGAGAGCCAAGAAAATGTCCACATCATAACAGCCTACCATATTGCAAATCAAAGTACTCTCTGTCTCTTTCTCTCTAACAAACCAATACACAGAGGACAAGGGAACACATACATTGTACAAGTGCATCGTCGGTGACAGAAACTGGAAGCCAAATTCAGCAATAGGAGCCAACAATAACAAATTTCCAATTCTCTCTCTCTCCATGTATCCACTTTGCAAACTGAAGAAATGAATCAAACGGTCGTCCACGAACCTATACCCGCCACGTTCATCATCGAGTGTGGTTGGATCATCCGACCACCTCCCGATTACGAGCACACTACAACCTGTCTCTTATACACATCTAGATGTGTATAAGAGACAGCCAATACACAGAGGACAAGGGAACACATACATTGTACAAGTGCATCGTCGGTGACAGAAACTGGAAGCCAAATTCAGCAATAGGAGCCAACAATAACAAATTTCCAATTCTCTCTCTCTCCATGTATCCACTTTGCAAACTGAAGAAATGAATCAAACGGTCGTCCACGAACCTATACCCGCCACGTTCATCATCGAGTGTGGTTGGATCATCCGACCACCTCCCGATTACGAGCACACTACAACTACGGCCGAAGCGATAAACAAATAAGTAAAAAAACAAGGGCACTCCGCGCTCCACAATGTACAATGGAATAAATCCACGGAGAAGACGGACAGACCGACAGAAGTACGCGCACGACAGGCAACAGAGTGACATCCATAGCCGAAAAATGCCCTGTGGGAGACGTTCCCGTCTACCGCTCTCGTATAGCCTTCGCTGTTTCCAGCAGCGCATGACACATAAGCTTTGCTAACTTCATTAGACGCAGCGCAGTGTTGCTTCTGGACCTCCACCTCCGCTTCGATAGCCTCACACTGCCAAATTTGAATGGAGCATTGCCTCTTGCTCGCGCTCTCCATCGCCTCGCATTGCCTCATGCTCTCGCTCTCCATCGTCGACGCCATCAACGCCCCATGCTTCTCCATGCACTCGCTTAAGGCCTTGAATGTCTGCTGCCGCACGTTTTTCCTCTTCATGAAACCAGCCGGATTTCCAGTCGTCTGTGAGCCCCCACGCGCTGAGTTGCCGTCTTCGTCGTTGCCATCTCCAGCGGCATCCCCGTCCCCCACAGATTCCGGAGTCGCCGACTGTGCAGATGGGAGTTGCACACCTCCTGCGCCACCGGTGTCTGCAACATTGCTCGGGCTGATAGTGTGGCTCCTCTCCTTCGCCCCTTTGATCTCCTCGTAGACGGACCGATCCATGTTGAAGCTGAATCCTTTCTCTGCCCTCTTCTGACTCGTCAACTAGAAGAAGTCCTCCTTCCCCGACATGCCCATGAAAGTGTGGATCTTTTTGAACTTTTGCATGAGATTATCCAATTTCTTCCCGCATTTGTCTGTCGGCCTGTCAACACCGACCTTCAGCAACCTCTCTCGGACGTCCAACCATTTCCACTCCCTCGACCGCATCCGTGCGAATGCGTGCCCCGCCGCTTGCAGTTGGGCGTCCTGATCCCGCTTCGCCCTTATGAGGGCCACCATGTGATCCACAGACCAGAAATTCCGACCACTCTCCCCATCCCCCTCACCTTCCGCATCAGCAGAGGTCGCCGACAACCTCTTCCGCCTCCGCCCAGCATTCGCCGAGGCCCTGCTTCTGCCGCCCCTGCCACCCATGTTCGGCGCACGCAACGGGAACATGTCACCGCTGTCGTCCTCCTCAGCGTCGCACTGAACTTCGTCACCGTCTGTCCAGACGTCACCCCCCCCGCCAACCGCGTCTGCTTGCCCGGCCCACTCGCCCACGCGTAATCGCTGCACACCTTGCGTTATGGACTCTTCTTGCTGCCGCCGCAACTCCTGCCTCGACTCCTTCCATACCCGCCTGCCATCTCCACGCGCGCCCTCGGAAGGGAAGTCTTCCTCACTCACACCCCGTTCAACTGGACGAGGAACGGTGTCGCGGCCCCTGGAGAACGCAGGAGGGGGGTTCATCCACTCAGGGCGACCAGCGGTGGTGCGTGGAATTGACGGGCCAGAAGTCGCCTGCACTCGAGGCCGCTCCCTCGTCTTCTCGGACGTCTCCTGAGGCGCAGAACCACCCCTTGTGCCCCTGCTGACCAATGTCACCTGCCCCGCGTCGTCGTTGGGATGAGGGTTCATGAGCACAGTGCGCGTGGCAGAAGATGGGCTCCCGCTCCGCAGGCCAATTGTGAGATCCACAGGTGGGAGGCGTTCCGCGTCCTGGGCACCTTCGTGGAGGAGGGAAGTGAACGTCTGCCTGTACTTCGCTCTGCGCCGATCATACAACTGGCTACCCGTCCATTCCTGGGTCGACCCGCTACCCAGTGGAACTGTGTTGGACACGTCCACGTCCGCCTCCCCCTCGTCCGAATCGGGCAGAAGCTGCATGTGAGGCGGGAGTCCTTCGTACGGCGATGGACTTGCCGCCCTTCTGTCTACACCGGTGCAGCTTTACTGCTGCGGGCCCGGGAAACTGTCTGAATGGGCCTGGGTGCAGACACTTTGGCTGAAGGCAGAAGCTACGGGGCACACGCAGGCGAGGCCCAGGCAGCCAGACACAGGGCTGCACTTTCCATTTAGAAAGTGCCTCGCCCAGCCAGAGCACATTCTGGCCTCACACTTCTGGGCGGCCACGCTACTGCGTTGTAAGCAGGCATGCTGCCTGGGCGCTGGCGAGCCAGGGGCGCACGTGGGCGCACAGTGGTGGAGGGTGCAGCTGCGCTGCAGGCGCAAGCGGCCATAGCCTGGCCTGCTTGTGGTGATGCCGGTGGACGATGGTGGTCTTCGGGTGAGAGGAGACTAAGAGGGAAAGAGAGGGGTGAGGTGAGAGGAGGAGAAACACGTACCTGTTGTATGCTGGCAATCTGCATTGGCGACGTCTTCACGCACATTGGTCTTCCGCTTGAAGTGATTCCTGTTGCATGTATGTAGTGGTAGGCTAGATAGTTGCTGAGTAGGATAGGCTGGGCGCTCAGCGCCAATCAAGAAGGGCGACATTGGATACTATGTTGGTGATGGCAAGAGAGGGCCGACATTGTATTGCTCTTATTTGGCATGTATCTCGATGCATTGTGCTTTCTGCTTGGAACACGATTATGTGGACTTCAGCGTGATATCACAATTTGGTTTTCTGTCTATCGCTGTCACTCATTTCCTTGCAGGCGGTTTCACCTTATCCGACATAGGCATGATGCGTCTCTCTAGCCGCTTGTCTTCTTAAATTCAATTAAATTGTCTATTCGATGGTGATCTTGTCTGACTACTTCACCCTATAAAATGAAATAGGATCTTGTCTATGGAATAAACTGCGATCTTCTCCGTGTACCGAGTTGTGATCTTGTCTGTGCAATGAGCTGCGAGCTTGCCTTTGTAACTGCACTTATAAATTATTGATTTTTTTTTTTTTAACCACTAATACCTCCGAGCTTATTTTTGCCGACCCTGAATTTCACTGCGCTCCGAGTTTTGTCGAACCTGGGTCCCACTCCATTTTCTTTATGGTACTCTCATGGAAAGAACACACAAACAAAAGAAAGAAAGTTGCGGTTGTGAAACTCGCAAAACAAAAAAAAAACAAGAAAAAAGAAACAAAGTTATGGCCATGATTGTTGTTGTATACATTCTTGGAAGTGGTCGTGTGAGTGTGCCCTCAGTGAGGGTATCTCAACCCGATGGCCAGGTTTTCAGATTCCAGAAACACAAAACAAGAAAAAAAACAACAGAAACACGGATTCGGCCGTGAAAATGGTTGGATACATTCCTGCAAGTGCCATTATGATCAGGGTCACAATCCTTTGAGGAAACACAACTCGAGCAAATCACAAATTCAGATTGTCAGATTTCAAAAAAAAAAAACGAAAACACAAATTCGGTCGTGAAAATTGTTGGATACATTCCTCAAAGTGCCAGTGTGATTAGGGTTACAATCCTCTGAGGAAACACGACTAGAGCAGATCACAGACTCTGCCTTTCCTTGTTGGCAAGGGACTCATAACAAACAAACGAGAAAGAAAATAAAGAAAACAACAAGTTTCAGAACGTGACAGTTTTTGTTGTAAGATCCATTTTGTAGAGGAAGACAATGAGCGCGACCTCCTAGACTACTCTGCACATCATTGCAAAAAAACAAAAAAAAATCTTTTTTCATTTTTCTTTCATGCGCAAACAAAAAAAAACTAAGATTTATGGTATTTTCCGAGCTTGGGTCCCACCCTTGAATTCTTCGGGTACAGGCGAACTTGTAATTTCTCAACACTGGCAGAGGTACCAGTGGTTTAAGGCTGAGTGTCAAAGTGGGGTACATGTATTCTATATAGAGATTTTGATAGATGAACCTAATTTATGGAAAATTCATTTACAAACAAATAGTAATGGAATCTATACTATAATATTACTATTAATATATCAGCTTGTAAAATAAATTATGTCATAATGAGCAGATAAATTATTTACATTTTATAAGTATAATTCATGAATTAGTTCAATAAGTTCATCTATTTTTTCTTTATTGATTTTTTATATTCATAATCCTCATACGTTATTTATGCATGAAATATTATGCAATGGAAACTCTAGTGTAAGGTGCAAGGTATTGTAATGTACCAGGAGAATTAGCAATTTCTGCTACTGCAATGGTGTCACTTAACGCAAAGCGATCCTCAAAAGTATTCATTACTTGAACAATCGAAGAAGTTTTTTTACGAATAGCTATATGAAATATTCTGCAAGGGAAACTTCAGTATAAGATGCAAGGTATTGTAATATAGTACGAGAATTAACAGTTTCGGCTACTACTATAATATTTATTTAAAGCAGAGCGATTCTCCAAAGTATTAACTAGCAACTGAAGAAACTTTATGACCAATATCTATATAAACACATTACACGTCTTGGCCTTTTTGGTTTAAAATTGTATCTATGGATACAACGGTTTTTTCAGTTTGACACAATTTTCTAACAACAAAGATCGATATATATGGGACGCTAAACCTGGTCTCCAACCGGTGTTGCTCCCCACTTATAGACCGAAGCAACCAAAACTGCAATTATAAGTTGTATAAGAGGAAGGAATCCAAGTTCTGGAGATAAATGAATCATTTTCGAATTCGGCTGTTTTTTACTTGCATTTGTCATAATTGTCCGATCTTTTCGAAAATCTGAGTAAGGTTGAAAACTTCATCGGACTTTGACAATTGAACAACGGTGCTACTTAGAGAAACCTCTAAATATGTTTGAGCAGAGCTCAAATTAAGAAAAAACAGAGCATAGACCTGAAACTTTTAAACTTGAAAAATATGTTTGAAACCCAGTGAGAGTTGAATGAAATAGACTTGATGTTAAGACAAAAGTCAACTGAAGTTAAGGTTCTTATAGGTAACTCAGCCCTGTGTCAGAACAATCCATATGAAATTTTATGAATCATACCAGATTCTGTAAATTGAACTCTCTATCAATAGATTTATGACAATTTTGTGTCCATCGATTCTGTTAGTGGATTTATATGAGCTTGACACATTATCGTATTTCATTCTATCAAGATTTAAACTCCTCATCTACTATGTGTTCAACATCAGTTGCATGCATGCCTGCACCATTTGAAGAACAATATGCAATTTCTTATAGTGATGTGAAGGTGAAAGGAGTTATACTCTTCCATCAGGATGAATGATACAAGTCAATGCCATTGACTAGATTCACCTAAAAATCTCCAATACACGGACCCAAATAACTTAAGAAAACGAATGGCTCACTTTCAAAACTTTAAAGGATCGGGGCTACTGGACCCCAATGGTTGGAGGCGCCAGCCAAAACAGAAAAAAAATGCGTCGTCGATAAAACTTAACGCGCAATGCGAGTTTGCTATGCTCGTTTCACATGTATACTGGTTGTTCAAGGTCACAAATCTGTCTGGTAGAGGGGTGGTAGCAATTGGACGAGATTCCAGTGGTCTTTGTCTTTCGAGCTTGTTTGCGAGCAATTGCTTGTGGTCTTCACATGCATGAATCGATCTCTCCGGGTCTCTTGTTTGATTCCTTGTGTGACTATATGATTGTTCATCTTATATTAAATATATGAGTGAATAATTGTTGGAATAAGAGTTAAAAAATGATTGCAGACTCTCGTCATTTTGAAAACACCAAATAAACTCTCTTCACCTGTCAAAACTCACCCTTCGACACAACCTTACGCCCTTTTAATAACAATAATCATAGACAACGTGCACGTGGATGGGATGTTCCAAAGACTGCGACCCATATCAACAAAGTGTATAATTTTCTTGATGAGTTATTTTGCCTAGGCTATATGTGTGATGGTCGTGTGATTGTTGAAATTGTTTTTTCTCGTATTTTCGGTTTTTGCCTTACATCTCTGATAAGTGCCTAAAAACTTGTGCTCGAACTATACGTAGGAGGATCACTATCAATAACGAGGCTTAACTTACATGCATTACACAAAAGAGAAATGTTGGGAAAAACTGTCTGCCTATGAGCTTTCTCTGCAGGACGCATAAACACACCCTTGCAACTCAGCGCAATCCGGCAAATTCCAACAACCTTTTGATGGTGGAAGAGAAAAATTGGAAGACATCGTCATTATGGGCGCTAAGAACTTCTTGGTGCTCTCCGCGGACCACACGCTTCTTCATCAAGGATCAATATAGTATCTTTCAACTACTCAGCTGTTGAACAAGTTGCGTATGGTTGCTTGATGAGCGTCCTTTACTCCATGGGAAAATGAATGAATTCAAATACTTCATATTTTTCACATTTATCCGACCACCTGTGTTTTTGTTGATGGTGTGATGACCTGCAAAATCGTAGACTGAGAAACGTGTTGTTTTGTTTAGTATTGCTGCTCGTTTAACTGACTTGCTGAGATTTTCGTACTCTGTCAAAATTTCTGAGTATGTGTGTGTGCACGGTTGCTGAGATTGTGGTGCTTGTCACCTGAATGATTGCATGAGTGTGTGTTTGTGTGTGTGTGTGTGTGTGTGTGTGTGTGTGTGTGTGTTTGTGTATGTGTGACCCACTTAGGTAACATGTATCCTGGAATGGCCCGCGGACATCGTACTTACCTATGGCCGTGTGTTGAGGGGTTGCGGCGGGGTACTAGGTAGAGCAGGTCCACCGGAGGCAGGAAACACTCAAGTACTGGTAGGTAGGTAGAAAAAGACAAAAAGGTAGTACCTTGGTAGGCCAAGGTAGATTTGAGTCTTGAGTCTAGAGTCTGATAGGCTTAGAGGGAGAGTCGTTGGTCCGGTAGTTTGAGTGTAGAGTCTGTGGGAGAAGAATACCAGACTGCAAATATTTGTTAGGATCTCAAGTGGAGGAGAACTTGAATCACAAGTAAATGGAATAAATTAGAGGTAGTGGAGTCATTCAAAGTAACATTCATAAAAAGAGTCAGTAGTTTAATCGTGTTTGAGCCACTTTTTGCAGA